TTACTTAAAAAATTAAACTAAAAACTTAAAAAAAAGTACACTTAAAATGGCAAAGTGGTAAATTTTATACTACATATATTTACCACAATAGAGAAAAGCAGAGTGAACAACAAACAGGAAAACCCAAAGAAATCCATGCCTAGACACATAATCAAAGTGCCAAAAACTAAAGATAAGCCACTGAAAAAAAGACAGAGGACCTATAAAATATTTTAAAAACTGCAGCTTTCTCATCAGAAACCATAGATAGGGAATGGCACATGTTGAGAGTACTCAAAGAAAAGAATGGGGCACCTGGGTGGCTCAATCGGTTGAGAGTCTGCCTTTGGCTCAAATCATGATCCCAGGGTCCTGGGATTGAGTCCTGTGTTGTCCTCATAGTCGGGCTCCCTACTCAGGGAGGAGTCTGCTTGTCTCTCTCCCTCTGTGCCTCCCCACCACCCCCCCATGCTCACTCGCTTTCTCTCTCTCAAAATAAATAAAATCTTAAAAAAAAAAAAGTCAACCCAGAATTCTGTACCTAACAAAAATACCCTTCAGGAATGAAGATAAAGACATTATCAGATGAAAGAAAACTAAAGATAACTCCTAGCCAGCAGATCACTCTAAAAGAATTGCTAAAGGAAGTACTTTTAGACAAAAGGAAAAGAATAAATAACACTGGAAGAAAACTTAGAATATCAGGAGCAACATAAATTATAAATATCTGGGTATAAATATAATAGGCCATCTCCTCCTGAGTTCTTTAAAATATGTTTGGCAGATGAAAGCAAAAAATATAACATTGTCTGATGAGGTTTTCAATGTAGGTAGATGTAATACAGGCAACAAAAGCATAAAGGGATAATGGGATCTACAGGAAGGTAGTTTTTACATTTCAATTAAAGTGGTTAAAACACTGATTCTAAGTAGACTGAAAAGTATTTAGTAATCTCTAGAACAATTATCAAAAATATTATATAAAGAGATACTCGGGGCGCCTGGGTGGCTCAGTTGGTCAAACGCCTGCTTTCGGCTCAGGTCATGATCCCAAGTCCTGGGATCAAGCCCCACATCAGGCTCCTTGCTAAGCAGGGAGCCTGCTTCTCCCTCTCCTGCCCCGTACCTACCCGCCCCCGCCGCTTGTGTGCGCGTGCTCTCTCTATTGAATAAATAAAATCTTTTAAAAATAATAAATAAAAAAATAAAGAGATACTCAAGGGGTGCCTGGGTGGCTCAGTCGGTTAAGTGTCTGCCTTTCGTTCAGGTCATGATCTCAGGGTCCTGGGATCGAGCCCTGCAACTGGCTCCCTGCTCAGCGGGGAGTCTGCTTCTCTCTCTCCCTCTGACCCGTGCTCACTCTCTCTCTCTCATATAAATAAATATTTTTAAAAATAAAAATTAAAAAAAGATACTAAAAATTAGAATTAAAATAATAAAAATGCTCACTCTGTAAAAAGGCAGAAAAGGGGAAAGGAACAAAAAAAAAGGAGGGAACAAACTGAAAACAAGTAATACGATGGCAGTAATATAAATCTAAACATATCTACCAATAACTAAATTAATATTAAATGGCCTAAATACACCCATTGAAAGACAAAAAGACTATCACAAAGAACAAGGAAAACGACCCAGCTATACGCTGACTACAAAAAACTTACTTCAAATATAATGATTTAGGTAGGTTAAATGTAAAAGGATGGAAAAAGATATACCATACAAACATCAATCAAAAGGAAGCTGCAAGGAATGAAAAGTCAAAATTAAAAAAAAAAAACAAAAAAACAACAATCAGAGCACCTGGCTAGCTCAGTTAGTGGAGCATGTGACTCTTAATCTCGGAATTATGAGTCTGAGCCCCAAACTGGGTGTAGAGATTACTTAGACATAAAAATTTTTTAAATTTTTTAAAAAAATCAATGGATACACTATATTAATATACAAAGGGAAAAAACCACAATCATCTCAATGCAGAAAATGCATTTGACAAAACATCTTCTCATGATAAAAATCCTAAGAAAACTAAGTATAGAAGAGAACTTCCTGGGGCGCCTGGGTGGCTCAGTCATTAAGCATCTGCCTTCAGCTCAGCTCATGATCCCAGGGTCCTGGGATCAAGCCCCACGTCAGGCTCCTGCTTCGCAGGAAGTCTGCTTCTCCCTCTCCCACTCCCCCTGCTTGTGTTCCCTCTCTGTCAAATAAATAAAATCTTAAAAAAAAAAAAAAGAAGAAGAGAACTTCCTAATTATAATGAAGGGCATTTATGAAAACCCATGGGTAACATCATACTCAATGCTGAAAGACTGAAAGGTTTCCCTCTAGAATCAGGAAAGAGACAAGGATGCCAGCTTTCACCACTGCTATTCAACAATGTGCAGAATTTCTAGCCAGAGCAATTAGACAAGAAAGATAAATAAAAGACTATCTCTACTTGCAGATGACATAATCCTATATACAGAAATCCCAAAGAATCCACAGGAAAGCTAATAAATCTAATAAACAAAATCAGCAATAGCAGGATATAAGATCAATATACAAAAATCAGTTGTGTTTGTATACACCTTCAATGAATAATACAAAAAGGAAATTAAGAAACCAATTCTAGGGGTTCCTAGGTGGCTCAGTTGGTTAAGTGACTGCCTTCTGCTCAGGTCCTGATTTCAGGGTCCTGGGAGCGAGCCCCACATCAGGCTCCCCACTCAGAAGGGACTGCCTCTCCCCCTGCTGTTGTGCAACCAAAGAAAAGCCCTGGACCCTGTGGCTTCATTGGTGAATTTTACCAAACATTTGAAGAACACCAATCCTCCTCGAACTCTTCCAAAAAATCAAAGAGGAGGGCATACTTCCTAACTCATTCTATGAAGCCAGCATTGCACAATACCAAAGCCAAACAAAGACACTCGAGGAAAACTAGAAACCAATAACCCTTATGAACATTGATACAAAAATCCTAGCAAGCCTAATTCAGCAGCAAATTAAAAAGATTATACATCATGATCAAGTGAGATTTATTCCTAGAATGCAAGGATGGTTCAACATGCAAAAACTGATCAATACACCACATTAACAAAATGAAGGGGAGAAAACCCCACATGTTCATTTCAACTGGTGCATTTGAAAAATTCAACACCTTTTTAGGATAAAAACAGCCAACAAACTAGAAATAGAAGGAAACTAGTAACATAATAACCCCACATAATAAAGGTCATATATGAAAAACCCACACTGCACCTCATACTCAATGTGCAAGACTGAAAGGTTTACTCTAAGATCAAGAACAAGATAAAGATGCCTGCTTTTGCCACTTCTATTCAAAGCAGTATTGGAAGTTCTAGCCAGGCAATTAGGTAAGAAATCCTGATTAGAAAGGAAGATGACCTGTTTACAGATGACTTGCTCTCAATATGTAGAAAACCCTATAGATTCCACAAAGAAATTGTTCAATTAAATTCAATAAAGTAGCAGCACACAACCTCTACTTTTTATAAAAAAAAATATTTTTTTATTTGAGAGAGTGAGAGAGCGAGCACACGAGCAGCAGAAGAGGGAGAAGGAGAGGGAGAAGCAGACTCCCCTGCTAAGCAGAGAGTCTGACCCAGGGCTGACCTCAGGACCCTAGGATCATGACCTGAGCTGGAGGCAGATGCTTAACGGACTGAGCCATCCAGGCGCCCACAACCTCTACTTTCAAAGGGAGAAATACCTATACACTTTTCCTCTAATTTTTCCCAATTTCCAGGCATAGAGCTCTAGGTTTATATTTCTGTATCCTCCACAAGGCTTATCTCATTGCCCAATAAATATTTGTTTGAACAATACATTCTTAAAAGGCAATGAACAAATAGCCATTCATTCATGAATGCTTGTCCATTTCCTGGGCTAAGTATCTAAATATTATACTGAGTCCACTCTAAAGGTTTTTAGGATTTGTTAATATCATCAATTGTTTTTTATGCTCAAAGAATTCAACTATATTCCTATTTCATTTTCCGGGATCCTCAAATAACACAATAAATCCAAATAGCCATCTACGTTTATTATCTAGCCATCAAGATAAAGCCAAACGGCCTCTCTGTTGTGTATTTTTCCTTTAAATATGTTAACCAATGTCTAGTCCAATATACTAGTGCACCCTAATTTCAGTCATCCTTTTGTTAACCCCTTAAAGCAACTTTTAATAATTAGCTATAGAAACTATTTTTCCCCAGATTATAGATTTTATTCATTTTGGAAGAACTGCTACATTTTTTTTAAACCCAATGAGTATATATGCGATTCTCAGTAAGAATGTGTAAGAGTCACTTGAGGGACTTTTAAAACCACACATGCTACAGAGACCCACCTCCTTGATAATCATTGCCTTAGTAAGCTACCTGATAGTGGCAACAACCTAAAGGGAGGCATCTTAGCCCTCAAATATATTAGAGCTGCACAAAAGTTAAGAACTAATGGTAACTTGGGGTGCCTGGGTGGCTCAGTCATTAAGTGTCTGCCTTCGGCTCAGGTCATGATCCCAGAGTCCTGGGTTCAAGCCCCACATCGGGGTCCCTGCTCAGCAGGAAGCCTGCTTCTCCCTCCCCCACTCCCCCTGCTTGTGTTCCCTCTCTCGCTGTGTCTCTCTCTGTCAAATAAATAAAAAATCTTAAAAAAAAAAAAAAAAAGAATGGTAACTTTTAGTAAATTTAGATATATGTTCTCAAGTGTTCAGTCACCAACTATGTTATTTTTCCCACTTAATTATGTTATTTTAATTTAGCATTCAATTAACTGAATTAAATTCACTCTAAAATAAAATTTGGTACCCTAATTTGGTAGATATTAATAGATACTAAAATGTACTTAAGCTTCGTTATAGTTCACTATATCATCTTAAAACAAAATGGAGGATTGATAAAAGCTTTAAACAGGCACTCTGTTATTTCCATGGATTCAGACTTGTGTTAAAAGATACAGAAATATTTATGCCAAGAGAGGTAAAATGCTTAGGTTATTGGAGTTGCAAAAGAAACTACAGTTATTACCTGCTGAACAGCTAGTGTACTGTCCATTTCATCAAAGGATTCATCAGGCCAATTATAGAAATCCTATTAAAAAAAATTCATTGTTAAAGCACATACAAAGTTACAAAAAAGCAACATTATTATGATTAGCTTCAATTCTTAATAAAGTTCCCAAGTTACACTAGAGAAAAAAGCTCTCATACTATAAATAACAGGATTATCAGTGAGTAAGAGAACTTTATTCAATGTTTTTAAATGAACCAAAATTTTATTTAACTGAACTATAAGTTACATTTTTTTCAACCACAAATCCCTCAAATAGGGCTCCCATAACTTTCCATGTATTACCTGAGGAGATAAATCAATCACTTTTTTGTTTATGGTGGTTTAACATTTCTCAAAACGTTAAGCTGAAAAAGAATCTCCAAGCACTGAATCAGTTTTTTACCAAAAGAGAATAGTTTGTGGTGGGGGTAGTTACTGTTCCGTAAGTACTATTGTAAACAAACATTATAAATTATTTTTCCAATTACAAATGGTGTTTTAAATTTCTAAATCAAAATATGAGCTCCATCAAAAAGTAGTCATCCAGCCTTCTTTTAAGGGCGATCAATACTTTTGTGGATCACCTTGCAATGGTTCTGAATTCCTCTATAGATAGTCCAGTTCACAGACATTCCCCTAAGTGATTAAGAATCTTCCCATCTGACTGACTTTTTCAGCAAGGTCTACCTATGTATCCTTAGCAGACAGATAAATGTCTCTGGGGTATAACTGGGGGAAACAGTAGTGAACCAATGATCTATAATCCTGTACCAATCAACATGGGTAAGTCTCCAAACACCTTAAGCAAACTGAAGAATTCAGTGTATGATACCACATGAATAAAAGTTTAAGAAATCCAAAGCATACCTACAGATATAATGCATACATAGTAAAAGTATGAAGAAAAGGAATAATCATCTTCATTGGTTGGGAAGAGTGGGTAGAAGACAGAACAGAAGAATGTGATAAAGAGGGATTCATCTATATTAGTAATGTCTTAGTTATGAGTGTAGATGATGGGTATACCTTCTTAAGTGTCTTAAACTTTTCGTATCTTTCTTTTTTATAGTTGCCCTGTATGAATGAAAATGAACTTTGTTTTAATATGTTAAGAAATAAAAACAACTTTCTGGAAATTGTTCCAGGATGCCTCTCCCTAGATACCATCTAAATATTATTGAAGACTAGTTTTTAAATTGTTTCTATATAATTTATACTGAAACTTGTTTCTATCAATATGCTTTGACTATACTTTCCTTTTTTAAAAAAAATTAAGGTAGTCTGTAAAATACTTTGTTTTAAAAATATCAGAAAACACACAAAACTGTAACTGGTAATCAAATGTTTTGTCTCATCATACCTGTCATATAAACACAAAAAGAACCACAAATCAGCTTAATGAACATTCTCATCTATTTCAGGGAATAAACATTTATTGAAAACCAACTATGTGCCTATATCCCAATCTAACTAATTAAAAAAAAAATAAGTAGAAAAAAGTAGAAAGATAGTTCTAAATAAATCATTTAGAATAGACCTATTTCACTGAAGGAAATTAGTGACAGACAAGGAATAGGAAAGAATGCTGCTTATGCAGTCTTTTCTTTTTTTAATCCTGACCTTTCCTGTGATGATTTAACAACCTTGATCTATGACAATGTGGAAAAAAAAGCAAAGGAGATTTCTCTTATGTGACTTATAACATAGGAAACAGATGTTACAGTATTAAAATATTTTATAACCTTTCAAAATTAAGAACTGAGTAAATAAAAATGAATGGCGATTCTCAGAATATGAGTACAAAAGTCGACCTCTGAATATGAAAATATAAAAGTTAATCACTTAGAAGAAACAATGTTTCCAAAGAATAAGAAGTTATCTGAGGAAAGAGCATTTATAAATAAAGTTTGCAAAAGGTAAAAAGAAATAAATTCCCATTCATATAAATAAGAAGTAAAGTTATCTGAGAAAAGAGCATTTATAGAGAAAGTTTGGAAAGTAAAAAGAAACAATAATATATAAATTTCCAGTAATATATAAATGTCAGTTCCAGAAATAACTGACAACTAAATTTGACTCTATAATACAATGTTTAAGCTCAATACTCTAAAATTCAGTACTAATAAAAACTTGTTAAAGAGAAAAGGTCACCAGTGAACTAAGAATCCAGAGACTATCTAACCTTGAGCAAATGCAGTCAATTCTCTGGGCTTCAGTTTCCTTATCTGTAACATGGATGTAGGAAGTGTCTGGATCTAAAAGATATTTTGAAAGGACTCCCTTTCCAAAATTCTGTACAGGATACTGAAATCTATTCTCTGGCATATGGTCAGAGCTCCATGGTTTTTTCCTGGGTTCCCCCCCCACACTTATATCACTTTTTCTTTAAAATTACACTTTAACACATCTCTTCTGATTTTAGAGCATATACTCAACAGCAACGTTATTTCAGCTGGTAGATTAATCACATCAAATCTAAATGCCTGTTTTGATTTTTCTTTAAATGTGAGGCACCCCGTCTTTTGAAAACCCCCAGAATCAACACCTAAACGAACACCAACTCACCCCAAATACTGCCCTACTAAAAGTTGATAAAATTATTATCAGTTCATTCCTTGACTATGCCTCACATAATAAGGAATGACATCTAACCAGGGCAATCTGATGATGAAAACTTGCTGGGGCAGAGAACAGCTGCAGCTAGAAATGGTCAAAGGCAAACTGCAGGAGGAGGATAAAGTAAATTATAACCACCCGGATCCGGCTAGACAAGCTGGATGGCAGAAGCCGGGCAGGCAGGTCACAAACCAGGTAGGAACCGGAAGCCAGAAAGAGGTTGGCTGTGTTTACACCCCCTCCCGCCGTGGCGGCCCCGACCCTCACGAAACCCCCAGGGTCACCACCTGGCGGGCCGCGCCCCTCCGACGATGGTCAGCTGTGGTTCAGGGGAGAGGCGAGAACAGGCAGTCGCTGCTGACACGCTCTCAGCCCCGAGCCTTGGCGGTCACCGCCCGCCGCTCCGACCCACCCCTCATGCCCACCCTCAAGTCAGGACTCCGCAGGCCTCGCGATCCGCCACCGCCGCCTCAGCCAGACCCAGGGGCTGCGGCTCCGGAAGAGCAGGCCGGGCACGCGTCCCCCTGCCCGCCAGCTTACCGCCTCGACCCAACCTTCCTCTCCGGGGCGGCCAGCGTCGCCACCGAGAGTTCCCCAGTAGGAAAGGTGCAAAGATAGTACCTGCGCCTTCGTGCCCGGCCTGTTCCGCCTCAGCACTGCCGTCCCCTCCGCCATGACCATAGTGCCAGAGTCTGGGCGGCTGGAGTCGATACCCGGATGTAGGGGAAGTCTGCCTGCGCCAGAGGGGGGCGGGGTGGGGGCGGGACGGGGTGGAGCGGCGCTCTGGGTCCGGGCGCCAGGGAGGGGCGGTAACTGACGGATCAGCCGTAGCCCGCGCGGAGCAGGGCGGGAGGACCGGGAGGAGTCCCAGAAAGGCCCGGCTGGCGGAGGGAGGGACACGAAAGAAGGAACAGCCGACGGCTCACACGCCGCGACGTGGAGGAAGGGAGAGACATTGCAGCGGGGGCCGGGGAGAGGCCTTGGGAGAGCCGGCGGGCGCCTAGGGCAGCTGCGGGAGTCAGGAAGGCCTGCGTAACACGTTGGTGCATCTCCCTGGGCTTAAGTTAGTTGCGCTGAAAAGACAGAGCTTGCACAATGGTGACCGTTTCAGTAAACCCTTGTGCAAGCAGATACCCAGAGAAGCATAATTCTGTCCCCAGATCCGCCTAGACAGGCAAAGTGGAAAAACAGGCCAGCAGTCTGGGAAATTTCCTCAGACCCCCCCGCATGAAACCGACCCAATCTCAAAAAAGACTAGGGCTTAGACTGTCAAATGATATTTCCACCATCCGCTGACTTCAAATCCAAGGACCTTTTCAACGACAAGTTTGTGTAGATAAAAGACTCAGGCTAATTATCTGAGAGCGTGGACATCTGGTATTCTGCGTTAGGCAGGCAAAATTAGCTCGTATTTTTTGCAAGTCAGAAGCAGGAGGAGAAAATGCCCCTTGACAGATGGTGGGAGTTGTACATCTCTACATGATTCTAAATTTCCTTTGTTGCAAGTTTTAAGTGTTCTCTTAGCGTTATGAAATCATGGGAGTTTTGGCAAACTTTTGTTTCCTGTTTAGAAACGTTAAATCTTTGATCTGGGATGAGGGAGGCCATAGGATACCAGATGGGAAGCCAGCTCACAGGGTAAAAACTGCATATACTAGGGTGATTTCCAAAAGAAGAAAACATCAGATATCGCATCAAATACACCTAAAGGTGTATTGAGAATGCCTGAGAGCTATATCACAGACAGCCTCCAAAAATGGAGGGAGGAATGGAAGAAAGGTTGGTTAAACTAGTGGGTGCAAAACTGAATAATTGTCAGTGACTTGGAACTTTGCTCAAAGGGGTTAGACAACAGGAAGTTGGTTTGCCTATAAGTAAGATTCCTTTTTTCTGGAAGATGGACAGACTGGTAATTTTTCCAGAGCAAGGAACTTTATTTCTTGAAAGAATAAATCTTTTGATATACTAGGAGGTAATGTTGGAATTTTTATTAAGCCCCACTATGTGTTCAGCACTGAGGTACAAGTATGAAAAGGCCCAATCTTTATAAATTGCTTAGAGTCTAGCAGTAGGGGCAGATGCACAATCACCAATTCTCTTGCTAAATATGGTGAGAATCTAGGACAAGTGGCACCCAAATGTTGCCTTCCTAAGAGACATGGGGTGGGTCTGGGAAGAGTAGAGTCCTAGGTAGGCTTCTAAGTCTGTGAACAACTCTACCTCACTCCAAGGATTAAGTTAATATTTCTCAGATTGTGTGGTAGTGTCCCTGATTTGCAAATATCAGTTACCTATAATTGAAGGGGCTCATCTTAGTGTTCTCTTAAGTCCAGATTTGTTATATGATTTCATCTCATCTGAAAAGAACAAGAGAAAAAGTGAAGAAGTAGGTATTAAATTCAGGAACAGAATAGGCATTTATC